AGCAGGAAAAGTGGCATTCTCAGCTCCAGCAGATGCACAAGTGTCATCCAGTTTGTACTGATCTGTTGAACAGCAAACATGTAGCATAAGGGACGGTCAGAATATGACAAGATGGGTTTTTAACACCACAGAAGCTACCTCAGTATTTAACATGCTGAGAAGAGAAGCTAATCACAAAAGACTTGTCTAGATGTCTATGTTCCTTTGACTCCTTAGGTATTTTGTAGCTGCTGATGGCCAGTGTGAACTTTAAATCGATTTATTGCGTATGTTTACATATGCAATAAAACCATTTGCCATATCATTTAACTACACAGAGAGTGAATTGTTGACCGTGAGCTGATCTGACCTTTTCAGGTCTAATCAAGAAATCTGAAATATTATTTCAGCCTGTCAGCTCTGGTAATATGCGGTAAGAGTATCTGTATCTAACGGAAAATGTCAGATGCGCTCTAATATGCAACCCATCAAACTTACGATGCATATGAACCAAGAACTGGTTAAGAATATAAATCTGTAACATCTGTGGTGCATCTCAATTGCAATTGTTCTGCCATTGATACAGGCTAGCTAAAAACATGCTTTAAAAGCAATTCTTTGGAATACGTGTGAGATGTACAGCTGCTTAAATATTAAAATGATCTTGAAAGAGGGGTCATAACACCAGGTTAGAATATTACTGGAAAAAACAGTGACCAGGGAAAATTTCAGTGCTCTAGTTAACGTCTTGCTAGCTTCGTGGTGTGGCAATGTAAGATTAGTGGTCTAATGTAACCTCAAAACTTTCCTTTTTAATAAATTGCTGTTTGTGAAGTTACTACTCTTTCCGGAAATAATCCATTATATAAGCTGAGGTGTCCTTATCACTTATTTGAGTTGAATTTAGTGTTAAGCATTTTTCGGAGTCTTGTGCTTTTTATGAAAAAATCTACTTCTACTTTTAAAAGCTTTCTGAAAAACAACACTGTTGTCAATAGGATATGGGATTTAATGATGTTTAATGTCTTTGTTTTCTTTGTCTCATCATAGAAGTTTCTGCTATTGGTATTTTACTAGATATTCAGATCTAGGACAAATCTGTCTTCAATAATTATTTATCAAGTATGAGACCAATTACTCATTGGTATAATTTCTGGATGATGAATTTAAATTTGGATTAAAGTGGATGGTCACAATGAAAAGCAACTTTGTATCCTAAGAAAATGGTATTTTGTTAGCTAAACAGTCTTATCAAGATTGTTTAATCTTAAAGCAGTTGTTAAACTAAAATTGAGTTGGTTTTTAATCTAATCATGGGTAGTTTGCAATTTCAGGCATTATTAACTGAATTGCTACTATTAGTAAAATGCTGTTGGAACTAGAATTAAAATGAACTATGGGAAGCATTGCTGAACTGATAACTTTGCATTAAAGAATAGCGTATATTTTAAACTACGCAGTTAATACTATTTGAATTGCTCTTGTGAGGCAATGCTGCCCTCCCCTGGTATGCCACGGAAAGTAGGAATTTTTATCCCAGTCCGAGCAAGTTCTAGGGCTTCCTATTAAAGAGAAATTGGAGAATTGGTGAAAACGGTGGAAAAATGCTCTTAAAAAGACCATTATGTGCCTTCTCTATTGCAAGACAAGAATAAAAAAGTGGAACAGACATTTGTGCGGTGCTCTTGTGTATGCACAGTGCAGTATGGATGAATATATAAATAATACACGGGAATATACTGTGAACACACAAGAAACAAATTAAGGGCTGAATTAAGTTTGAGTGGCAATTTGGAGGATGAACTGAAGACAAAATAAACTGATACCAGGTAGCTGCAGAAAGTTAGCAGGAACAATTACAATCAACTTTTGTTTAACAGTATAGTTTTGTCTTTATATATAATGTTTAGAGATTTATCATTGATGTTTACATGTCCGATTCTGCAACAGAAAAGTAAATGGGACCGCGGCCAACAACTTGCATGGGAATAGGATTAGCTCTTGTGCAAATGACGCTACAGCAAACGTGTCATCTTCTCTCAGGGGCTACTGATTACAAAGATACCACTGCAGGCTCAGGAAGTCCCTTCACTGCACGTTCCTGAAAGCTGGAGAAGGTAGTCCAAGGAAATATTACTACTGCATGGTCTATTCTTAACATATGTCTTCAGACATCTGTTATTAATCACTGCTGGCGACAGAATATTGGGGTAGAAGGTTCTTTAGCTTGTCCAGCTATGGCTCTTGTCTGTTAAGTCAGTGTGTTGCTATTTGCTTTAATTTTGTCTTCCTTCCCTTTCTCACTGCTAGGTGGTTTCACCATAGTCCAGATAGCAGAAAGAGATGAGCCTTGTTTCAAATATAAGAATTTTAGTTCCCACATGACTCCAGTAAAGTGTGTGTGGTGGGGGTTGGTTTATTTATTTGTTTGGTTTTTTTAAGGTATAAAATATCCCTTTCTTTTTATAATTAAGATTTTTCTAATTGCTGGACAACTTGCAAAACACACAACTTTTCTTCCTGTGGCATATGACTTTACTTCTGTTTTGTTTGCTCCTCATCCTTCTTAATGCATTGGAGATCACCTAACACTAGAGTTTTTTCTGGAGTGAGTATGTTAAAATCTCTGGTTCATGTATTTCTTCATGTCTTAGATATGAACAGATTGCTAGATTCAGGATCAGGAGGGAATTCTTTTCCCCAGACTGGTTTGCCTGAGGACTTTGCTTGAGTATGAGTTCTTGTCTATCCCTTAGGGTCAGGTCACTTGGGAGATCTTTAAAGAACTGTGGAATATAATGAGATTCCCAACCTGACCTGCTCTGGTCCAACAGCATGTTACAGTGGCGGTGACTGTTGATATTTTACTACTACCTTTTATAATAAGGTCCTAGGAGTTGTTTTGTCTCTGTGATACTTGTCAGTCCACAGAGCAGGTGTGGACCATTTTGAACGAGATCCCAACTATTCAGTTACCTGTGACTGTGACAGATGGGACCTGAAAATCCCAGTGGTCCTTCACAGACTTCTGTTCCTAAAGTGACTTTGTTGACTGCAAAGCAGTAGTATTTACCTTCATGCACATAAGCTAGTAGGCTATAATAAGCAATCCTTTTGAGAGCTAGCTGTAAAACCGCTGCAAGTATGGCTCCGTAATAGTTAAAGGTGAGCTAAATCAACACCGAGATAGCTCATTCTGCCTCTCCCTTTGTGACACCCTGCCACAGCAAAACTAGTTTTCTATGTTCTTTTTTGTTAGATGAGTATTCTGTCGGTGTAGCATCCCAGCTCAGCTCACCAAATGGTTATGTGAATGGCATTGGTGTCATTCCTTGACCTAGAACAAATGTATGAGGTCTAAGACTGTGTAACGGTTTTCTTTCTTCTCCGTAACTTTTGCAGGTATTGGGGCTGCTGGTGTGGACCCTGATTGCTGGAACAGAATACTTTCTATATCCAGCCTTCGGCTGGGTGATGTTTGTAGCTGTGTTTTACTGGGTTCTCACCGTCTTCTTTCTGATCATCTACATGACAATGACCTACACCAGGATCCCCCAGGTGCCATGGACCACAGTGGTAAATAAACCCATTCTTTGTTGTTCCAAGTTCGCTGGGTTATGAAGAGACTAAAATATTGATGCATTCTATGGGTGTAGTTAACCAACTGTACTTGTGCTTTTTGCAGATTTTTCCCTAATTACTGTGTGGCTGCGTACCTGCAGTGCTTAACCTTCATACCACCCAGACACTTTAAAAACACTTTTCCTATGATGTTTCGCTGTTTTGTTCAGAGGTTTATATAGTGACTTGATTCTTAATAAAGTGCGTGTGACTGATACTTATATGCACAGTGGCCCCTCTTTCTCCCTGTAGTGATTACGTCCCATGAACAGTGAGTCTGTTGCTGTCTCTGAGCTAACAGACCTGGCCATATGGCTTAAACAGCAGAAATACCTACTTGAATCAACGCCATGAATTGGAAGTGGGACCCTGGCTCTTAAAACACGAATTTTCCTCTGCTAAAGTAAAAGCAAAAGTGGTTCAGAGATAGCACCAGTCTGACATTCTATATACGGCCTACTGTGAAAATGGTACTGAAAATCAGTGTTATATGTATGTAAAATATGTGCCATGTAATCCTTTGCTTTTAGCTCAAGACTCAATGCAAATCAGATAAACAGCTAATGTAATTACAGAAAAATTTCACAGGCACTTAAAATTCAGATCCAGTTTCTGTGGTTTGAACAAACCTGGCTAGCTGTACCGCTTGACAGTTTATTTTTACATGATTTTCATAACAGGCTGGTGTTCAGGGTAATAGATCCTAAAAGTCATTGTCATCTCAGCCAACTGGCTATTTGTGACCCATCCAAGAATTATGATAAATTTTAGCTTTGCATTTGTCTGATACAGTGAGATACGGGGTTTTTTTACTAGCTAAAGATTACTGACTAGAGTTATGTTATTTCTGTGATAAAATACATTTGACTTCTGCGTTGCAAATAGCTTGTTATTGGCTATATTGTGTACGTGACTAAAATTGAACACTCTTTTCATCTTCCCATTTGCTGCTGTAATAAATAGCCAGCTATAGCAATTACTAATAAGAACAACGAGGATTATGTTCAGATAGCTTCTCCATTTTCAAGTTTCATGACTAGCAATTACCATTAAGTCTATAACACTGCTATAGAAATGTTGGATTATTTCAATTACAGCAGTAATGTGTCTGGGTACATTTAAAGGTATGGGGTTTTTTTTTTCCCGATTGCATTAGATGTAAATACAGTACATTCAAAGGGAAAGCATCTTTGTACCCATTTGGATACAGTTTTTAGTCATTACCCCTCTTTCATCAGTTCAACACTATTATCAGATAAAAGCTGCATATAAATGAGTTGCCCCGATCTCTGTGGTAGACAAGCTGGAGTATTTGATTTGTTTCTACTTCATCTTGAGTGTGTTTCTTGCTGAACTTTGGAACTCTGAGTTCCAAACATATTGTAGATAAGATCACATAAATGTAGGTCCAAAAGGTAGTCTCCTTTTATAGTAAAGGCGACTATGAAGAGAAAATAAATGCAAAATAAATAAAAGATGCTTGCATTCTAGCTTGTTTTGCCTGATGGTATTAAAATAGCTGTTGGGAACAGCCTTTGAATTGGACCTCTGCCACTCCTGGCTGGCCAAGAGATATGTTGTGTCTCCTTTCAGAGAGATGATGTTAATGTACTCTTTCAAGAGAGCATGACACACGCCTTTTTGAGTGACACACACTTTTTTGAGTGAGTTTACACCCACCTTCCCCCTGTTCTCTGAAGTATCCTGAATTTCAGTCTCTGCTAGTTACTGCTCTGCCTCCTTAGGCAACAGTTAGCTCAAACTGTGCCAGTTGTATGCAGTATCCAAAAATTATATCTGGACTTCTCTGTCATAAATCCACTTTTTGCAGGTTAAGCACATTACCAAATTGCTTAAGATGCAGTTACTTTTACTGCAAATTAACCCAAAGGATGTGCTTCAAAACTGACTCTCCTTAATAGTGCAAGTTCTTTGCTAAAACAATCAATGGAAGCTTTTAAAATCTGGTAAATTTGAATTTAAGAAGCAGATGGTAATTTAGCATGAACCATTTGGTTTGAGTAATACAGTGGCAGTAAAGGCCCAATCAGCTTGCATTGCATTCCATCTTCCCCAACAGTGTTATTTCCCAGAGCAGCACTTCTCAAAAATTATGTGCTTTTTTCTTTCCTACGTGACAAGATATTGCAGGGATTTGTAGCTTTCCAGGGTAATTGAGTCTTTTTGGAATGGGAAATATAAAAATAACAGCAACAAATACTCTAGGCAATCAAATTTGGAGTTTGAAAATGAGAAGTTGACCTGAACCTGCCAATTGTGGGCATCTTATCCTAAAATTGAGAGTTTTATATTTTATTACTGTGATGCCCAGATAAAACAAGAGAGGTGGGATCTGTGGATAGAGATAATACCTTTTATTAGATAAACCCCACGCATTTATAAGTATATGAATAAAACCTCAAGTGCCAGGCCTTGGATGCCATCTGGGTACTGAGGCACTGCCCTGGGTTCCCTGTGGAAAGGTGGGTAAGTGGCTCTTTTCCAAATGCCCTGAAGTTGCAAGGACTTAGGAACCACAGGAGGACGTGTATGTCCTTCAGCCTGCTCTGAAAACTGTAAGAAGACTTTTTGCCTGGGACGTCTCATACAGGCAGTGGTGACCTGAAGACTGACGTGTTGACAGATGACAGCACAGCATGCTGCTCTCTGGAGGGGCCTGCAGTTGAGAAAGCATGTGTTTGGGGAATGGCTTCCCTTCAGGAAGTTTTGAACCTTGTGTGTCACAGGAGCGTGCAGCAGCGGGCTAGACTCCACAGAGTCTGAAGTAAACTCTGCCAGGACCAAATGTCCTGGAGATGGATGTGAGGAGCTTCCATACCAACCACTTCAAGTTGTTGATCCATGCACGAGGGAATTGCTGATGCAGATACAGCTGTTGTCGCTGTCTTCTGAACTTCTCTTCTTGGGCTGCAGCTCTTTTTTTAGATTCTACCAGAGTTGGCAACTGGTAGATTCAATAGTGAATAACTGGCACATATTCCTAGCATCCACTGGGTCACACAAGGGAAATTAATAATTTGGATCTGCACCAGTATGGCAACAGAGACAACTGGGGCAACAGAGTTAAGGTTTATGATATTTGTGTGACACTCTGGAGTGCAAACATGGGGCCAGAAGCTGAAGGGAGCATATCATGTACAACATTAGGACCTGGTCTAATTTGAGTTACTAATTCCTGCCATTGTAACTAGGTGCAAAGCATGTCACGGGTATTCCACTTAAACATGGCACCAGTGAACTAAAAGCACATTTTATGGCCAAATTCGTATGCCATAGACAATTAGCAGGGTGGAGTTTTGGTTGTTTGGTTTTTTTTTTTTTTTAAATAAGAATGAACTTTCTATAGATGTGACCAAGTAGTGAGTGGGTAAAGGACAAAGTATTAAAATTATGTACTTAAAAAAACCCCAAACCCTTATGCCTTTTTATCTGTATTTCATCTTCTTAGACTTCCATTCTCCTTTCCTTCCTTATTCTCTCTCACATGCAAAACCCAAACAAGCTGTTATTGTTTGTTCTCTGTAGTGTTATGTGAGATCAGTGTTATCTGCTTTGCTTCTCTCTTAGTAATGAACATAGGTACCCTGAGACATTAACTCTGCTCCTTGGAAGAGAAAATGCAGCACCTGCCATGATGGGTCTTGATGACCCACATAGTCCGTTCAGACTGTCCTCCTTGTTTTTATCTGTTTCTGTCTCCTCCCAAAAACAGGCAGAAGGGAAAGGTACTGAAAGGTGGAAGTATAGAACTGAAAAAATTACCCCCTCTTTATCTCCTTCAGAAGTGGAATATTCTTAATATGCCAGAAGTTACTGATTCCTACAGTGTATCTTTGTGTAGATTAGAAATGTAATCAAATTGCAGTTTTGATTGGTTTCATTTTTTTTCCATATAGTGTCATATTGTTACTGCCTAAGACTTACATTGCGATAACTAAACTGTATCCTTATTTTCACTTTTGGAAAATCACAGTACACCAGCTTTAAGACACTTCTGGATTTAGTGTGATGGAGAGAACAGTTTGTCCAAAATGTGCTTTAATGTTTATGGATCTTTGAAATAAGCAGTTAAACTCTCATCTTGCAGATATAAACTTGGAAGAAGCTAAAAATAGTTAAGAATGACATTTCTTGTGTACATTGCATGTGTACATTATATTTCAGAGGACAGCTTTGCAATGTTGGAATAGAAAATTATAACAAATGCATGTGCATATTACTTACTTGTGTTGCTTGATTTTTCAACAGGGTCTGTGTTTTAATGGAAGTGCTTTCATTTTGTACCTCATTGCTGCCATTGTAGATGCATCTTCAGTTACCAAAGAACTGGACAGTCACAATTACAACAGCTGGGCAGCTTCTTCAGTGAGTTCATTCTTTGTTTAAATCAGTTCTATGTCCAATAAAATTCTATCAAAAGAAGGCTTGCTGGAAGGGCAGGTTGAAATGCATGCATTCCAGATTTTGAAAAGCTGCAGACTGATGTAGAAGCTCACACGCAAAACCTCTAGGTATCTGTAACTTAGTTCATAGTTTTTGGAAGTGACTAGAAATTCCACCAGGAGATGACAGGCACATCAGAAAAGGCTGTAATGTTTTTAAGATCAGCCTTTATTTCGCTGACTTTTGTTGTCCTCTCTGGACCTGTCTGAAATCCTGTCTTCTGTCTGAAGCTTATTCTATACAGCCATGAACACAGACACTTGAACACCTGCTCTGTTTTTGTGTTGGGAATTGGAGAACTATGTCCCTGTCACTTCAGTGGTGTTAAGGGTCTTCTCCCCTTGGCAATTCGTAACTCTGCCACTGCTGTTGACAGGAACTTGCTTGCTGCTAGATATGCTTCCATGCTGATTCAGGTTTTATATAAAATGCATGAATGCTTAGTGTCTAATACCTCCTTATAGTGTTTATCTAATGCACTGTCTAAATAAGCTATTAAATGTAGATTCTTGCTTTCTGAACCCATTAAGGGTTTCATGGATGGATGTTTGGGAATTTAGCAAATGATCTATCCCCAACAGTTGTTCTCTTTTAGAAAGATTTTAGATGGAGCTTTTATTTCATAAGAAACAAAATTATTGGAAAAGAAGAATGCTACAATTTTCTATTGTAATAATATTTTACATCATCATCTACAGTTCTTGGTGCCACAGTTTAAATTTACATTAGACAAGACTCACCAAGAGCCTTCTGTTGGAGAGTTTAGATTTACTGCCTGTATGCACCCTTAGTAGTGCCCTCCTCTCAGAGATGGAGTGCCTACTCGGTCTAGTGATGGTATATAAGCAAGAAACATTGGTAGAATCATAAAATATTTTTAGGCTGGAAGTGACATTTGGAGGTCATCTGGTCCAACTCTCTCCCCACTTAAAGCAGGGCTAACTTGTATCAGGCTACCAGGGCCTTGTCCACTTGAGTTTTGAATATTTCCAAGGATGGCTATTCCACAAAGCCTCTGGGCCTCTGTTTTTGCCATGTTTGATTACTCTCATTGTGATTTCCACCCAATCTAACTGAAGTTTCCCTTCTGGTAACTTATGTTTGTTCCCTCTTGTCCTATCACAGCTCACCTCCAAGAAAAGTAGTATTAATCCTATTTGCAGTGTTAGCTTTATTTGGTTCAGTTACCAGCACAAAACATTCTGGTCTTATTGCAAGACCATTTTCAACATTGTCGATTTTGAACAACATGCAGTGATTAACAGGAATGTAGCTGCTGGCACTGAATTGGATTTTATCAGTACAACTGAAATAGTTCACAGCTGTTCTTTGGTTCTTTGGTTTCTGTGGTCATATGCTGCAAGGACTGCAGAAGCAACACCACTGATACTATGTAGTTTTAATCTTTAAACATAAAATAAATCTAGCCTGCTGTAGAAGGCTCGTTCTGTAATCAGTTTCTGACAAAGTAGTGATATCTCAGCGTGGTTGCTGTCACTGTTATTTGCACTGAGGAATACCTTGATTCATCAGTAGAGAACCTCTGGAATTGGTAACCTAGTTGTCACTGCTGTTTGAGATGTCTGGGCCTGCATTTGAATCCAAGTTTTCTCTAAACAAGCCATTTGGATGCACAGTGTGCCATACTGAGGTACAAGTGGGCCGTAGGCAATTCCTGGAACATAGAAGCAGTGCAGGGGTGTTAGCTTGAGCTCACACTGTCCCATGGACTGTCCCTCAGTCTTTACCAGCAATTGATGTTACAACCAGCAAGTATAGCATTGGTGGGAATCCCATCTAGAAGATCCATACTGAGGCAGTATAACGTGGAGATACGAGTTGAAATATGCCATGGTTTGTCTGCTTCTAAGCCCATATATATATTATAAGCTTACTTACACAGTGTTGACTGCGATGGACACACAAATACAAGGAGATGAGAGAGTGCCATTTTAGTCAGCCTGCTATTTCTCCTTTCTCCAAATCCCATAGGTATTTTTTTTCATAGAAATGACAATGCTCTCAAATATATTTTTTTTCCTAATATATTTTTTCTTTCCTTGTCTCTCTACAGTTCTTTGCCTTCGTGGTTACCACCTGCTACGCTGGAAATGCTTATTTTAGCTTTATATCTTGGCGATCACGAACTTTGCAGTAAATATTTTGTTAAAATGAATTCTGTAGTATAAAATATCTTGAGGATTATGCTCTTTTGACAAATGCTTGGAAGAGGGATGAGGTCTTTTTGAACATTTCTGTTAGATTTGACACAATATATTTTAAGCTGAGATTAAAATTATTATTTATAATACAATATCATCTTTAGAGACATTTAACACTGACTTTGTACTGTATAATAAAATTTCATACTGCTTCTTTTAAAATTAACATGGTATTTTTCGAGACATTGTATAGATGTTATTACTAAAGCTTTAATAAATCTTACTCAGACAATGTGCCAATTTTGTAAATGTAAGTTTTAAAATGTTACAGGTATACGTTTGATACTTAATGCTATAAATCAAAACTAAGAGTGATACTGTCTCATTACTATGTATAAAAAGTGACATTGTGCAGAAAAAAACACCCAAAACTTTAAAAATAAATAAATAATTGACCCAACTGTGCATGTTTTGTAAACTGGGAGTAGAAGGTTCTGTTTTTAAATTTCTTTTTCAGAGTAAAATATATACAGCTAAGAATTCTGATGATCCTGTCAGTTTGCATATTCTAACAGTTTCTCACAATCATGAGATTGCTTTTGGAACCTGTTACTGTAGGTCTGAAGCTCGCTGAGGGAATGCTGCGTCTGAAACATGTTACCTTAACAGGTTTCTCAAATCTAGCAGGCTCCAAGGCATAAGTCTAGACAACAGTCCCATAGTGCTCAGTATTTAATCTACTAAGAATATCACAAAACACCTACTAAAGGTAATACATTTTGTTTCTCAGGGAACTGCGTTTTTTCTTTTCTCCTCAGATTAGGCCATTAATCTGTCCTAATTAAAATCTGGGCTTCTATATTTTATTAAATGATATAGTGATTAAATCCATAGAAGAATTGTCAAAGGCAACGGTGTTAGAAACAAATAATTTCCTCCCTCCTTTCTTGTCTACTGGCATCATCTGTGAATTGTTAGTTTAACAAATAAAGTTTTTAATTTGACGCTCATATTTAAATATCTTTGAGTCAAGATGAAGTATGACAGAAGATTTTGACTTTCAAAACAGATACCTTTGAAAATGACTTTCAAATACAAATTACCTAAGGAATTTTTTCCAGGAATTACATGGAGAGTATAAGGTTGTGATTATTTTGTGATATTATTTAAAACTACTGGTAAATCTTTTATTCCTGGATTAAGAAGATTTTGACTCTCTTCCAGTCTTCAAAAACTTAGTTGGACTATTATTATATGGTAGCAGAGAAGTCTTACTGCTTAAAAAAACTTCTTTATTTCTCCCTGTAACTAAATGGTGTGTGCTTACTTATGTGCGTGACATGCAGCAAAGAAGATGTATCAGCAGCCAGCTAATTCTGTGCTCAATCACATTTTGTTCTTGATTATCTATTGGAGTCACAGGATTTCAGTGTAAGGGAAGCCAAGGTATTATTTAAAAACCTATATTTGTCTGCAGAATGCATCTGGCCTGTACAACAAAGGTCAGGCTGTCGTCTGCTTGCTAAAATTATCCAGTTGTGAGAAGGAAGAAGGGCTACCAACTATTCATTTTATCTGCACAGATAAAATGTGTCATTAAAATCCCATATGCTCTTTTCCAGTGCTGGAAAAAAAATCAAAGGCATAAAAATGATCCAAATGTCAACTGGTAAAATATGACTAGAAATATAGCCAGAATTAAAATCTCATCAGTGATTTCTCATCAGTAAAAATGCTTTCATAGTAATAGAAATGCTTTCTTAAAGGATATTTCATGTACCCACCTTAAGTCTGAAGAACATGACTATGTTTACACAAATGTTTCTTGATGTTGTGGTCATTGTGATGGTCTGGTCTAAAGTCGTAACCCAGACAACATCTGTGGATAGAGGTAGTAAGAGGGAGCAGAGCTAAGAGCAAGCAGTATGTTTCATCCTGTTTACCAAAAACTGTCATGGAAACTGTGTTATATGTCAGAATAAACCCATTGACGAAGGACAAAACCACACTATTACCAGATAAGGAATGATTCTGGCAAAATATCTACCATTTCTCCAAGTCTTCAGTGCTGATCATCAAGGGAAGATGTGTGGAATGTCTTCCAAAGGCCAATATGTGAGGTGAATCCTTAATTCTGAATTCTAAAAAATACTTTCTAGAGAGAAATTTGCTTTATGCCTGGCCTGGCATTTTTTTCACAAGCCATAACTTACCTGCCTTGCTCTTTCCTTTTAGAAAGATAATTATCTTACTTCCCCTGCTCTTTCTTATCAGTCTCATTTCTCGGCTGTTCCCCCGATACCAACTGTCTGTTTTTCAAATGTTCTGCATATCTAGTTAAAATTGGAGGAAGCTGTACAAGCTGAGAATTACTTCTGAAGTTTGCTCCTTGTATTTCAGGCCTGAAGAAAGGCATAAGCACCCAAAAGGTTATCTGTTTCTTTCAGCACATCAGTCTTAAATACTGATTTGCACACTGACTTACGCCTTTGTTTATTCTAACATTGATAAAGAAGATAAGCTAGCTGTAGTTTATCATGTAATAATTAAAACAAGGTTTGTGGCTGCAGGCATTGCTTAGTGTTCATAAGATTGAAAGAAACCTTATTTAAAAGAACAACTAGTAAGTGGTGAAATCGTTAATGAAATTCTTAATACAGATACTTAGAAGAATAAACAAAATGCTAATCAACTTGCCAAAATGAAGGCATTTGATGTTATAAATAACTTGTTTCAGACAAACAGTCTCTCTGAAACATCTAAGTCACCCACATACATAAGGATACTTGATGACAGTTTATGGCCATCAAATTTCATTTATTATGGAGTTGTCAGTACGTCTTATCATCATACATGATGCATTTAACAAGATGAAGTAAGTAGCATGAGAACTGTAATAAAACCTTAAAATTCAGCAGTATTTTAGACTGACTTTGTGCCAGTGGTTTACAGAAGATGCCTGTATTTCTGAGTAGAAAATAAGACTCTTAGTCTACTTGTATTAATTTAAAGGTATTTCTGTTTCACTGGGCTTAACTTGGATCAGCAGGGCCCCCGTCTTATACACACTTTTAAAAGAAGAACTAAAGAAGCTGAATTGGTGGGTAAGAAAAATGTATTTCTTAATAGGAAGTACAGAAGTTACTAGAACCTTCCTCCACAGGGCTTGCAAGAAGCCTATAACTACATGCTTCTGAACTTGATCTGTAAGAAGAAAAGAGGGGGGAAAAAAGCTGCTGTTTAAAAAAAAAAAAAAGCACTCAGCAGCTAGCATTTTAGGTAGATTGGCAATGTTGTAGCTTTGATATCTAATGAAATTCTAAGATAAAATTTGGTGGGACAGGTAATATCGTTTATTGAAACTACTAGCTGGCTTAATAGAAGCCCAAAACTATATATACACTGTTTGGTCTGTTACAGACCATTGCCTACGCTGACAAACCCTGTCTTGCTCATGTGCATTATTTAGCCCCTTATTTGTGTTGGAGATCATCTGAACTTACCTGCCTTCCCTCCTAACACAATTTTAGTTGCTGAAGGAGCTATTCAATACTAAGTATGAACAGAATGTGCATCCAGCTGCAGAACAGAGCAGCAGCAGCTGGGGTTACTACTTGAATGAGTATAAAAGCAGCGTATGCTCGGAGGCCCACTATTACCTCACTTGTCAAAAAGCAAAACAAGTTATTTTTAAACGTGAGGAAATCCATAGCTTCCTTTGCTGAGTTTTGTTAATATCTCCGTGTGGTTTAATACAAACATTGGCCTTGAGACATTTGGACAGTCATTACAGTTTTTGCCTGCCACTGCCCATTTAATGCAAATGTTTTCTCTTTTACGAGGTCATGAATCAGGAAGTTTGAGGGTTTTTTGGTGAGAATAAACATTGTGTGGGAAGAGGCAGTTTGCAGCTCTACCTCCACTGGGAAGCACTAGAGCAGTTCTCCAAGAACATGGCCGGGAAGCTTTAGCAGGCCCTGGGGTCTGCCACCGTTCGAGTCAAACTGCTCCCCGCTGTGGTGGCCGGTCCAGCGCGGAGCTCCCCTCCCGGGACCCCGCAGCGGACACTGAGGCGTCCCGCTCCCTGCTTGGACACTTTCCCTTCGGCCTCTGTTTCCATGTAACCCAGCTGCAAAACGGGGGGGAGCGGG